GTTCTAGAAAATAGGTAGGCGTCCACACCAGTCACGTGACCTCGATGACGGAACAATATTCACATGAAAAATAAGTAGATAAAAGGCCTTTTAATTCGTGGATAGGTTAATGGGTAACTAGAACTGAAAATAGCAATCTGTCGACTGCTACTTGAAGTAATATTATCAGTATTAGAAAAATACATTTTTAAAACTTCCACTGTCTATTAAAGCTAATGTTTAATTATTAATTGACCAAACATTTAATTTTAAACAAAGACATCAGGCTGAGTATAATATATATATATATATATTATTATTATTCCTGTAAACTCCCAGTGGAGCATAGGGCCGTAACAACACCTCACCAACGGAAAGTTGTTGTTGCAGTTACTAGTAGCAGGTTGGTTTTTACGGGGTGGAGTTGCTAGCCCCGTGCCCAACCCTCCTCCTTTTTGATCCTGGACTTGGTGTGACCCTCAGATTACGAGTCGAGCGCTCTAGCGACCTGGCCATGCCGGGCCCAATATATAAAATTACGACATTATTAATGCACCGACAGATTTTTATTCAGTGATCATTCTTACTTTAAAACATTTATCTGAATAGGACTATAGTGCGCTTCAATACAATACGTTACTATAAGTGTTTGATGTTAAGCGCAAAGCCCCCCAGTGACACAGCAGTATGTCTGTGGGCTTACAACGCTAGAATCCGGATTTCGATATCCGTGGTAGGCAGAGCAGAGATAGCCCATTGTGTAGCTTTGTGCTTGATCACAAACAAACAAATTAAGCGCAAAGCTACGCAATAGTCTATTTATATTATGCCTACTGAGAGTATATAAACCAGATATTTAGCGTTATATGTCTTCAGACTTGCCAGTGAGCCACCAGGGATTCCTGTTGTTTACACTAAATTATAAACGCACATTAATTAACTTTCTAATCATGACAGTATACCACAAGGTATTAGAATAACGCGGTTATAAGTGCTTTTTTGTTTGTTCTTTTGTAATTGTGAATAGCTTATGGGCTAAACTCGAAAATAATATATATTGTTACGTATCTGCTTGTTTGTTAATTTCCGGTAAACTTCAGCGATACAAGTTCGTTCTTGATTAAAACTAGTTTATTATTTCTCAATACAACTTTTTGTAATACACAGAATTTTCACAGTCACTTTAAATTTAACAACCTTTATAACACACACTATAAATCCCAGTTATTCACACACTTTACTTACGGTGCATACTGTTCGCTTGACTAAATTATCTATCTCTTCGATCTATCTATCTATGCCCTTAAATCGCGCTGGTTTTTCTCGCCAGGCTTATACACTAAAAAAGAGGGCGCCTCGAAAAAACTAGAGTTGCCAGGAAAATTCATGATAGTT